AGTGGTACATAGCAATTGTGTGCACAGAAACAAAAAGCTAAACCAATTCAAAGCAAACACAGTTCACTTTGCAAGAAGACTCCAGATTCCCCACCAATGTAGAGTCAGTATGCAGTGATAGGTTGCATTGTGTGTAAAGCAAGCATTTTCAATCCAGGTTAACTGGATTTGATACAGTTTTAAAGCCCCGTGTAGGTAAGCCCTCAGCGTTAAGTATTATTGGAACAAAATCCTGAAGTTCTCACTCATGCAGAACTTTCTGAAGTCAATAAGGATACTTACATGGAGAAGGTGAGCAGAATTTGATCTCAGCAGGTGTAAGCAGCCATGTCTGCCCTCAGTTACACGAGGTGTAAGTACAGAGAAACTCCAAAACACCAGATTTACACTGGAGTGACGATGGCAAAAGATGTCCCAAAGCCTTTAAACTTTTCCCAAGCCATCAGCTTCCTTAGAGAAATCTTTTTAGGAATAGTCCCCTCTGTGCCCTTGCTTTTGACCTCGTGCTCAAGCTGTCGCTTCTATCCAGCTTCTGCCTCCCATTGGGTCAGATGTCAGGTTGTTTCCCCTGTGAACATCTCGCAGCACTTGCCCTATTAACACTCTGCATTCCAAGCTCAGGTTATTTTAAATTAAAAGCAGGTTTATTTGACAAAGTGAGACTCAACAAATGAAAACTAAATGGAATGAAAGCCATGACTAGGCTATTCCTGTGCACAAGTGCAGCAAACAGGCCCGACACTGTAGTTACAATTTATTGATTAAGCTTTTTAATCCTGTTTAAAGCATGCTTATCCCTCCTGCCAGCAGCATTCTGTTGGGTGCGTCATCTTTGTCAACTTCCTGTCAGATCTTCTTGGAAGAAGACCTGTAGAACCCATAGTTTACATAGGTCGTTGGAGCTTTTTTCCTCAGGTTCAATCATCTTCATTAACAGGTTGAACAGTTTATCATCTGTTTCTCTCAGAAGTCAATATGCAAGTAACAATTATACTTTGTATAGTTCAGCATTTTTGGTTATGTTCATTATCCTTTGATATAAAATCTTCTCCTTCTCCTCCGTGTTTGTATAATGAGTATATCGGAGAGTATCAACCCATCAGAAAGATCTAGTCAAATGTGTTAACGGCATTGCTCCCATTTCTAAAGAACTACTGTCCTCCAAGTTGTTGCTTGAGCCAGTGTTTTCTCCACTTTTAGAGGGAATTTCATTAGTAATTTACTAGCTTCTTTAGCTCAAGAAGTCTTATAACCATTTTAAAATGAGTAAACTGAGAAACAGACAGCTTGTGAGATTTACTGACAGTCACAGTGAGCTGTGGGGAGTTGGACCCACAAGTTCTGACTATTGTTCCATCCCTTGACTAATACACTCCTCCTCAGGTTAAAAAGAGTCCAGATTGGCTTGTCTTATTGGTTACTTCCCACTAGGATCTAGTAAAAAGAGCAGCATCTACCAAATATCCTGTCCATATTACACCAAATTTTCACCAAGTCCTAAGAAAAAGTGAATATTGCAAGAAAACAACAATAATTTTAGTCCGATTCTGCTTTCCTTGCCTCAGTTGTACATAGACATAACTCTCCTGGGGCTGTTACCACTTTCATCGATATACAGTTGAGTAATTCCACTGAAGTCAATATTATTTTAAAACCAGTGGGTGGTGAATCTGGCCCATTGACTTCACCGGAGTGACTTTTTACTGCGCACTGGAGTATGCACGGTTAGAATCAACCCATTGTTGTCATGTTCCCTGGGTTTGTTTGGAAAAAGCCAGAGTCTGCCTGGTGCCCGTTGGTCAGCAAACCAGCCAGCAAAAAGCTGATTTCTGACAGGAATAAGGGGTGCTAGCAAGCACTGTGAGCAACAGCAAGTAATGAATGGGCCCCTGGACTGACTGTGCTAACATCCTCACATGACAGATTCTACAGATCTAGGTTGGTTTGCTGCTGCCTACAACAAATGCATGTAGGAGACATCATTCCAATGGATGGGGTGCTGGACTGGACATCAGAAAGTCTGGGTACTATTCTTGGCTCTGCCTTTGAGTGACCTTTGGCAAGTCGCTTCTCTGTGTCCCTTTCCATTCTTTGTCCTGTCTGTAAGCTCTTCTGTCTCACTGTGGGACTGACCAAAGCACACTGAATTCAATGAAAAGTCTCCCATTAACTTCAGTTGGCTTTGGATCGGGCTCTGTTTGTAGAGCTCCCAGCACAGTGGGGGGTGGGGGGAGGGGCTGATCTCTTTTGGGGTTTCTAGGTGTGACTGTGATACAAATAAGAAATAATAATAATTATACACATTCCTTATTTACAATATCTTCACTTCCACTTTCTCTTTCAGAAAGTTTGTTTTTTCAAACATTTTACCAACTATTTTTTCTGCTGTGAAACTAGCACCCCTGCTTCTAGTTAACGCTAAGTGTAACTGATGGAGTAACTTTGTCGATTTTTGGTTTTTCATAGCTATATGGTTTCCTGAAACAGTCATGCCTGAACTGCTACTCGGCAAGAGACTCAAGGAGTTGACTTCTCCAAATGTAATCTAGAAAATGCTGATTCTTTATACCTGGGATGGATGAGAGGTGATTTATAGCCACAAAAGCAGAAGTACACTACAGTTTAGCAGGCAAGCCAGCAGAATAATCCCACTATCTCAGTTCCATAGAACAGGAGGCCTCAAAACGAAGGATGGGAAGAGAGCAAATCTGGCCATCTGACTTAGTTCCAAAACAGAGCTGGACTTGGCTTCAGTTTCAGCTGGCCCAATTCCAACTGACTACAATGAGTAGTGATATATTAATAGTAAACAAATTGGAATAAAAATCAAAACACTCTTTCAAGTAATCAGGTGTCACTCCCTTGGACTGAGATGTCATAAACCTACCAGCTCTGCAGGAGCCCATGAAACCTTGCAGGGTAAATAAGACTGGAATTTCTAAGTTAAAAAAACAAGCAGGGGGAAAAAAATCCTTTCAGACCTTCTTTATACAGTAGAAAGAAGCAAGAGGGTACAGGATCATTATATCCCCTTGCCCTTTTTATAGGTCCCTTTTAACATGTTTTCTAATACAGACATTTCAGTCTGAAAACCAGGAGATGTCTACATGCAGTTTACTCAGAGCAATCCCATTCACTGAAACTGCTTAACAATGTGTAGCACAGGTTACATCTGTCAGACACCTCAGCAACATGCTGTGTAAAGAAAAGGATTAGGAACACAGCATTGCTTAACAACTAGCTTACCGGAATGTTCCCCAGTGATTTCCCCAATGGCTTAGCAAAAAGTAATGAACATTTCACAACAGTTTAAAAGAAAAGGAAAAATGTTTTCATAAATATTGTAATATATGCTGTTATTTCAGTTCCCAGGTAATTCAGAACAATTTTGTATTTAAAAAAAGAGAGATTAAGAGAAATTTTAAGAGACAATCAACATATTTAACACCAAAACATGATTTCAAAATAAAAGGCTGCTGACAGAGACATGTAGTTCTTCAGGGACCAAAGGCACAATATGTTTCCTGCTGTGTTAAGGTACCGATAAGTTATCAGAGAGGAAAAATATATTGCACAATAAAATTAGAGGTGATGCAGCAGCATGTGATATAAAAACCCAGAATGAGTAATCTGACTAGAAGAGATACCAGCCTCAGATTTTCTATGTGGCAGCATTCAGTGTTTTCTTTACACCTTTTCACTCAGCAATTTGCTTTTAATTTTTCGTTAACCTAGTTTAGGACTGAATTCCTCCATGACAGAACACCCACCCACATGGCACCTAATCAAACACCTGTTGAAGTCACTGGATCAAGTGCTAGAGGCATAACCACGAGACTGAAATGTTCTAGTCTGGATTAGAAACAAAATCCAGAAGCTCTGATATTTCACAAAGTAAAAATATTGAATCCCAGTGGAGAAATTGTGTTACTGTTCGGGGAGGAGCACTTGGGAGGGGGCGAAACCTTACGTCAGATTTGGAGTATGACAGGGAAAAAACAGATTTTTTTTGCATATATTCCTTTCTTTAAATTTAATTTCTTTACAAATCTCTTCACTGTAGCCTGCTAGTGTATAAAATGATTAGTTCCAGTTCTCTTAACACAGCAATTCAGTTAGCATCTCAGAATGGAGAGGGAGTATCATTAAATTACAATATAAGAACTCCAAAAATTTGTGAAAAGAAAAGGAGTACTTGTGGCACCTTAGAGACTAACCAATTTATTTGAGCATGAGCTTTCGTGAGCTACAGCTCAGCTCACGAAAGCTTATGCTCAAATAAATTGGTTAGTCTCTAAGGTGCCACAAGTACTCCTTTTCTTTTTGCGAATACAGACTAACACGGCTGTTACTCTGAAACAATTTGTGAGTATCTGACTCATGTTATTTTATAAAATACAAGTTGATTTATACATAGAAGAATGCACATGCTAGCTCAACATTGATGCCCAAAACTAATTAAAACATACACAGCAACAGAATAGCAATTCAAACAAAGCTCCATGTCAGCATTAATTTAAAGCTTAATTGTAAATGTGCAGTGCTTACACTTACCAACCGATCACATAATGGGGACATATTTAATGCTGGTACAACTAACCATTACATTCTAATACATTTATTTATTTAGATTTAAAATACTAAAAAGATGCCTATCCAAGGCTTTCGATGCCCTAACATTTTTAACAAAACAATAAAGTCGTATATGAAAGTAATTCAGGTGCAAGCCAGGAAAAACAAAGGTTTCTAAATATTATCTCAGTTCAACTCAATCGCATCTACACCCACATATACCAATCTGATGCCTAGCGAGTACGATTTGGAAAGCATGCCATGTCCTGTGCACACATAGCTTGAGTCTGATCTCACATTGGTTTGAAGCCAGTGTAGTTACTCCAGTGCAAGTGCAGAACTTGGCCCACGCTTGTTCGGAATTCCCCATGGAAATGCTTTTGTTGTGTGTGAATTAATGGTAACATTTTTCTTTTTCAAAAACTCACCCTCCCCGATGCCAGTGTCCTTCGCTGGAGTTAAAGAAGTCAGCAGAGAAACGGTCAGGAAAGCAGCAAAGAGCATCTTAAACACTACATTCAGAACTAGAGATCCTTCAAACAGCTCAAAGTCAGGAACCCCCTAAGTATCTCTTGCCCTTTCAGTCCCTTTACTTGGCTGGAATAACTAGCTCAATGGGGGGTGACTTTCCTCAAGACTTTCACATTGTGGGTAAGTTTCTAGTTTTGTTTTTTGTTGTAAACCTCTTCGCAGAAATGACCACCTCCCAGCGAACGGCTGAATGGGGTCCTGTGCCCAACAATGGGATTCCTAATGTACACAGAGATAGTCAGTGGAGACCAAGATTACTCACAAATCAATTTCTACCTAGTTTAGGACTGAATTCCTCCAAGACAGAACACCCCCCCATACACATTTTTGTCTTGTACTATAGCAGCAGCAGAGTTCATTCTTTGTTAGGCAGGAGTCTAGCCTCCTGTAGACATCGCTCACGTCGCTGATTCCTTTGGCGTTTTATACCCTTGCATTTTGCTTTGCAGGCTGCTCATGGGAGCTGTGAATGATTTAGAGGCACCTATCCTTGTTGGAAACACGTAACAAAGGAGCCCGAAGCATTTTGTGCTATCTCCCCCTCCCCCGAAAATATAATGATCCTTTGAAGAGAGGCAATTTTTTGATGAAGGAAATTTGTTTTAATTTTTTTTTTTTTTTGAATGCTACATGGAAAATCACAGTTTCAAGAGTCCTTACTAAGAACGTATATGAAAGAATAATGGTCACATGGCCACCACTTACTGGAGTTGAAATATTTATGATACAGTCCTGTTGTGAGCTACCAAAGGGAGCCAGACTCCCGCTCTGCAGCCTGTATGCTCCCGTACAGTGGAATTGCAGTGGTTCTTTGCTTTTTAAGCCTTGTGCTGACATGCAAGTTTGCAAGGTGCAAGATTTCATTTTGTGGGGGACAGTTGTGAGATTTGCAGCCTCATCCCATCAAGATGGCTGTACAGTCACTGCAGAGAATGACTTGTAAGGCTAATGCATCTGTTTTAAGGACAAAGTCTATAATTTTATTGTGGGGTGCTATACATTTGTACTGCATGGTGTTTTGCTATTACACTCACAAATCTGCAGTATGGGTTTGGCCAACAAGTGCCAGAGTAGTTATCACATGCATTGTTAAAGTACCCGTCACTGTGGCAAACCTATACAAATGGGGTTATTTTCCTCAACAGCTGCAAAGCCCTTTACATTTCCAGTAATTTTGTTTGTTTCCACTAAGAAAATAACTATAGTCTTGATTATAAATGCAAGTAAAATATGGCTTGATAAACGTTCATATTCAGCTTTTTATGATCCCTGTTGCCAATGAATGTGTTACCTATGAAAAACACATTATTCATTGTTCATAGCTGAGGGCTGGATCATTCTTACCATGGGAGAGGACCTGGGGGGAGGAAATTGCTACAAGGATTCAATGGTCCTCCTCCACTGTTCTATCAAGAGTGGGTTCTGCCCTCCAGCAGGGTAGGTCACAGGACCAGCCCTGAACCTGACGGATGACCAGGGACCTAAGGGAGGCCCCATGCCTCTTCACTGGCTGAATGGGGCTCTCCTGGCTTGTTACCAGCTGTAGTGCCAGGGTTGCCTCCTTGTTACAGCTGCTTCCAGACCCAAGGAGTTGGAAGGGCTCTGTGGAAATGACAATATAGTTCCAAGCTATGTTTAAGTTTTACTGGGACTCACCAAGAGACTGAGAAGGGACAACATGCATTGCCCCAGCTGACCCATTTTCCTTTCTCTCTCCTGATGTGAACCAGATCTACAACATGCTCCCCCTAGAGTATGGAGAACAGTGCCACAAAGGCAGCTAATCATCCCCCTTTTGATTTTGGAGCAGGTCATCCATACGAAAGAGCCCCTAAGTGCACAGAGGTGGGAGACTGGTATCCGAAATGTCAAGGACAAATCCTACACTCTTTACTCAGATTAAATCTCCATTGTCTAAAGAGTGCAGGATTCGACCTGATGTTAGGAAACCATTGCAGAGCAAAGCTACTTGCTGTGCACCCGCATCCATCATTCTTAAGCTTTCTTTCATTGGTGTTGGAATCAGCTAGAAGATACTATGGCTGGAATAATGATCCACTCCCTACACGCACAGCAGCTGGTAAAGTAACAGTGTAGGCCTGATGTAAGTGGGAAGAGGAAGAATTAAACCCATTTGCCTTTCCTCTAGGCAAACTTCCTCCTTTTGTAACCAGGAATTGCCCCTCCTCTCCCCCCCCCCCCCGTTAATCTACATGAGTCTGAAAGCTCTCTCTGAGCAAAGACTTTGCATTCACGTTAGCTAGGTTACCAAGGTGATAAAGAAAAAGCCGTTCCCAGGAACCATGGCTCCAGTTCAGCGTTGTCTCCATCAAATCCAAGCTACTGCTGGATTTAAGTACAGTCCCCTTTGTCTCACACATCAGATTAGTTAGATCTATATGTCACTATTTGTCCACTGTACTCATGTCTGGGCTGAAAATACGAATTTAGCTCCCAGCACAATTTAACAGGCGGTACAAACAAACAAAACCCCTCAACTAAAGAAGGAGCAAGAAAGATGTCAGTCTAGTTGCTTTTATGTTGCATCCTTTCCCTGTTTCCTTAGCTGCAGCTTGTTTCTTTTGGTTACAAACTTGTCTTATGTGTGCCCAAAGACCTTATACAGCAATGGCACAGTATCAATAATTGTAATTATTAAGATAATATTATGCAACATGTAGGAAAGGGCCATGTCAATGAGAGTTATACACAGCTGTGTGTGTTGAACATGTGTGTGCTTGTGTGAGGTGACCTATACAGGAATGGGTCAGGGTTAAGTGGTGGGGGAGGGAATGTATGTATCTTGGTATTGTTAAGTGTCTAGCATTTGGATACCTAAATAAAATAAACTATAACAATGTCCCAAGTAAATAAGGAAAATGTAATTTTAATGGAAATGTTTGTTCTTATCTCTTTTTAGAAACGGGAACTTCATTTAAGCGGCTTGATGGGGCCAAATCCATTCCTCTGCTTTTTTGAAGCATCTGATATAGTGGCAGTGGTCACAACTTAAACATAGAAATGTGGGGCTGGAAGAGACCTCAAGAGGGCCTTAAGTGCAGCCTCCTGTGCTGAGGCAAGGCCAAATAAACCTAGACTACCCCTACAGATGTTTGTCCAACTGCCATTAAAAATCTCCAACAAGGGGGATTTTACAACCTCCCTTGGAAGCCTATTCTAGAGTTTAAGTACTCTTCTATTAAGAAAGTTTTTCCTAATATGTAAGCTAAACCTCTCTTGCTACAGATTAAGCCCATTATTTCTTGACCTATCTTCAGTGGATACAGAAAACAACTGACCACAGTCCTCTTCAGAACAGCCCTTAACATATTTGAACAGAGTGTTATATAATTTCCCCTTCAGTTGTCTTTCCTCAAGACTAAACCTGCCCAGTATTTAGAAAACCTGACCTGTGAGGAAAAATTTACAAACGTTTTATCATTGTTGATGCTCTCCTCTGGACTCGAATTTGTCCACACCTTTCCTGAAGCGTGGCACCTAGAATTGGACACAGTACTACATCTGAGGCCTCACCAGTGCCAAATAGAGCAGGACAAATTACCTTCCATATCTTAGATACAACACTCCTGGTACTGTACCCCAGAATATTATCCTTTTTCACAACCGCATCACATTGTGGACTCATGTTCAATTTATGATCTACTATAATGCCCAGATCCTTTTCAGCAGTACGACCTGGCCAGTCATTCCCCATTTTGTAGTTATGCATCTGATTTTTCCTTCCCAAGAGAAGTAATTTGTGCTTATCTTTATTGAATTTAATCTTGTTGATTTCAGACCAATTCTCCCAAATTGTCAAGGTAGTTTTGAACTTGAATCCTGTCCTCCAAAGTGCTTACATCGTCCCAGGTTAATGTCATCCGCAAATTTTACAGACATACTCTCCACTCCATTATCCAAGTCATTAATGAAAATACTGAATAGTACCAGACCCAGGACCAACCCCCGCTGGCCCCACTAGATACACCTTCCCAGTCTGACAGCGAACCATTCACTGATTACTTTTTGAGTACAGTCTTTCAACCAGTTGTGTACATACCTTACAGTAACTTCATCTAACCCCACTTCCCTGGTTTGCTTATGAGAATGTCACGTGGGTCTGTTTCAAAAACCTAACTAAAAATCAAGATATATCGGATCTACTGCTTCCCACCAGTAATCCTCTCAAAGAAGAAAATTAGGTTGGATTATCATGATAAGCTGGTTCTTTAAATATCCTATGATGAATTTCATCAGGCCCTGCTGATTTGAATACATCTAACTTACCTAAATATTCTTTAATCTGTTCTTTCCCAATTTAGATTGTGTTCCTTCCCCATTCCTTCCTTAATGATTTTATCTAGAAATGGTCAGAGAGGGTAAGAGCTAAAGAGGATTGAACAGACTATTACATTTCTCAGAGGAGGTTGGTAGGTTTGTTTCTCTGAAGGAAATGCTGATAATTTCTGGTAGCAGTGAGCACAATTCTTAGTTAGTGGAGGATCTGTTTCATATTGGGGTTTGTTTGCCATGACCTCAAGCTTTGAGTACTTGTGGCACCTTAGAGACTAACAAATTTATTTGAGCATAAGCTTTTAAAGCTGTAGGCCACGAAACCTTATGCTCTAATAAATGTGTTAGTCTCTAAGGTGCCACAAGTACTCCTTTTCTTTTTGCGAAGACAGACTAACACGGCTGCTACGCTGAAAGCTTTGAGTGTGATGGGATCAAATTCCAGCAGGAACAACAGGTAAAGCACTCTGGTCTTAATTAAAGTAGCTTTTCTTTGCTTCTTTTAGTAGACGGCATAGTCCCAGAGAAGGTCTTTGTGTTGTAATCATCTGCCTATAGGCCTTTACCTAACGAAGTTAGTTGTTGAACTATGGTGATCTGTTGGTGTAAAGAGAAGGCCAAGGGACAAGCAGTTGTACTGTCCTAGTAGCTCATGGTTGTGTAGGTGGGTGATGGTCTTCCCAAGGCATGCTGGAAACTTAAGCTTTAAAAGATTTTGTGGGCAGACAGACTTTGGTGGTTCATTCCCTTAGTGCAGGGGTGGGCAAACTTTTTGGCCTGAGGGCTGCATCGGGTTTCTCAAATTGCATGGAGGGCCGGTTAGGGAAGGCTGTGCCTCCCCAAACAGCCAGGCATGGCCCAGCCCCTGCCCCCTA